GATTGCAGAAAAAATAGTATGTGTATTTCGGTGGAAAAGCACATTCTAGGCCTTCGGTGTTTGTCGTCAACTTACACCGTCGGCCGAGAATGTGTCACTTTTCCACCTAAATACACAATGTACTATTTCTTTTTATTAATGTACGTATTAAATTTCAGTGAGATTATGGAAGGAATTGAAGTTCCAGAAAATGCAGTAATCGAATCCGAATCATCAGTATGTGACGAACCGTTTGCAGTATCAGAAGATCCTTGTGACGACCCAGAAACTGAAAAAGATACTGATTGTTCAAAAGTATGTATTTTTTGCAATTCAAATCGCAAAAAGCATACAGGTCGATGGCAAAATTTACATAGTTCCTGTGCACAAGATATCGGTGAAAATATAAAGTCTCAGGCGACAGAAATGAATGACATGGGTTTATTAACAAAAAAAGGATGTCCAATTTTATACCATCGCATATGTCTCGTACAGTTCCAAAATAAATTCCAGTCGCATATTGCTTCAGAAAAGGAAAAAACTGATTGGCACATGAAACGTGTAACTTATGTAAGTGCTGCATTCGATAAGATTTGTTCATTCGTCTACGAAAATATCATTCGGAATAAGCACAGTTATTATTTAGATTTTTTGCGAACATTGTACGCTAAATATCTCAGTGAGGAAGTCAGAGATAGTAAAATTTCGCCCAATACTTTCTATACCCGCTATTTAGAAGAGAGATTGCTGAAAACATACCTTAAAGGCATATCGGTTATACAAAACAACAGAAGAAAAATAGTTAAACCATATACAGGCGTTGCGTTGAAAGATTCAGATTTTTCCCTTATGCAAGACGAAGAAACTGTACAAAAAGCAGCAGTTATCCTACGTAGATCCATCCGAGAGTTGGCAAAAAAATCGATACCAGAAAAAATATCGGTCTCTGATTTGATAAACGGAGAATGTAAAGTTCCTACTATTTTGTCAGAGTTCTACAACATTTTGCTTAGCGGCGGTGAATATCGTCGAAAAAAAAGTCCTCAATGCCAAAGACTGTCGAAATCGTTTTCGGCAGATGTTATTCATGCCGCTTGGAATGGAAAAATGATGCCTTCAAAACACATTATTAGGTCTGACCCTTAAAGGCTTAACTAACAGTAAAAAAATAATTAACATTTTGAATAGATACGGCCATTGCTCCAGTTACACTACGTTGCAGGAATTAGAAACTGAAGCCACTTTCTCATCCAGCAATCAATTAGATATTTGTCCCGAAGATATAATAAGAGCACCAAATTTATGTACAGGATTAGCATTCGATAACTTCGATAGATTTGTTGACACTGCTTCTGGCAAGGATACTCTTCATGATACTGTTGGGATCATTTTTCAAAATATTGTTGATAATATCGAGTCTGCCACTGAAACTGAGTCAGAGATGAATGAAAGTGTCGAAAGCTCGAGTCGTACAAAGAGACGTCGTACATTTGACACTATTACTCACGAAATGGAAGCATATACAAAAAAACCAAAAATCACAGAAACTCTGATGCCACTTCATATTGTCACGCAATGTTCACTCCCAATAAATTTCAAAATTGCTCAGCAAATCGACACAGTATGGATGCTTTCTCATGCTCTTGAAATAGAAAACATACCGATGTGGGACGGTTATAATAGTTTGTTATACAACGATAAGTCCAACCGACAGAAAATTTCATATTTAACAACTATAAGTGAGTCTCCAACTAGTGATAAGGTTGTTCTCGAATCCTTGAAGCAATGCCAAAAGGCTGCTGAAGAATGTGGCGAGAGATATATGCAAGTGACCTATGATTTAGGCATAGCAAATAAGGCGCTTAAGATTCAAAGTGACAAAAGACCTCTTTTCGATAATCTCTTCATACACATTGGTCCGTTTCATATAATGATGGCGTATTTCAAGGCGATTGGTAAATACATCGATAATTGTGGCTTAACAAATATTATGGTCGATACTGAACTGTTAGCTAGTTGCTCTGTCAATGGATTGATTACTGGCAAGCATTTTAACAGATGTAAAAGGCTTCATCCGCTTGCTGCTTTAGCGATTCAAATAATGCATTATGAAAGCTTTGTGAAATTAACAAATCTCGAAATCCCTGAAGAAACGAGACAGTATCTTGAAGACTTAAAAAATGAACGGCATGACAATCCGGAGATTAACAATCAACATTTATTAGAAATATTAAAGAAGTAGAATATGAGACAAGTACACTTGCTGGAGAGTATGGGAAAACTCCACAATTCTACTTGATATACTCAAATTTGGTTCATTACTATCTACTGTTAAATAGAAGCATTCGAATTGCAGACTTGGAGCTATTCAAATTTGTACTTCCGAAGATAACAAATCTTTTTTTCACTTTTAACCAACAGAATTATTCGAGACATTTCGTGAAATATTGTGACAATCTCCAAAAAGTGGACGAAACTCATCCCGGATTGAAAGAGCAGTTTGAAAAAGGATCCATTGGAATTAGAAGGACGAGCAAACCTTTCTCTCGACAACCTATGGATCTAGTGCTGGAACAAACAATCAATGCCGACGCTGCAAATAAATTAACAGGCATCATTCAATCAACAAATTCTATTTCAGCTCGGCAGAGGTGGTGTAAAAGCCATAGCATACGAGCGAGAATAATTACGCATGTAATGGAAACGACTGGATTGAGAAATCGACAGGATATTACAGCAGATCTGCGGAAGAGTTCTATTGACAAAAGTACCGACCAATTAAAAAAATTAATTGCAAATATAAGGCAAAACATGAATCCTTTTTCAAGCACTCTAGATGGAAACTACTTATATAACATTTCAAGTGGAAAGGCAGCGAAAGCAGATGTTGCGGAATTCCTTCTCAACGTTGAGAAAATAGGAAACGAACAGCGCGAAAAATTTATTACTGAGTGTGCCGAAGATGGTAAACGATTTGAGAGTGTTATAAAATGAAATAAAGTCTATAGTTTCACCGAATCACAAAAAAAGAAAATTAATGTTTCTGGAAAAGTTGTAGAGGTCCGTATGCAACGTGACTTATTTGGGAAACTGCTCGCAATTTCTTTGCAACAATCTCTACAACTTGATAAAATTTTGGCTTATCCATTGATGCCAGTTCCATTATCGTTATGTCACACATGGCCGTAGCTAGAGTCAAATGTGCGATAGGGCTTGACAAATTTGTCATAGGGCATACACTACATACCCCCCCCCCCCTCCCTTAAATTATAGGTAAACAAGGCAATTTTTTCAATAAATAATATCTCTGGCACGTAAACAAAATGGCGCTGATTCTCGCGCCGCCTTGGACCATTCGCACCAAGAATAATACACACAAATAGAGAAATCCATTGGTAAGTTCAATGCACACTGAGTGCATTCGTGTCCTACTAGCATGATATAAAGAAAGTGACAGAAATACATGTTTTTTGCACTAATTTCATCAATGGCGGTCTTCGCCATAACTACTACTACTATTACAGGATAGCTTATCATCATAAGGCCTGTGTATATCAAATCTCAAGCCCGCCACCACGCCAAAGAACCAGTGATTACGTAGGCAGCGTGTCGTTTCTCGCCTCGACGTAGGGTGTTTTCACCACAGGTTATGATCCCATGATAATATTTTTCATCATGAATGTATATTCTAAACTACGACCGCTGGCGAAAACAGTTGACGACGTAGTTGATGATGTCATCACTAGTGTTACACCATATGGCTGCAATTTCCACAAATGAGGCCGATAAGCAATCCTGTGTAGTAGTGTGTATTATCGTATTATCCTTGCATTTGCACTCGTTCGAAACGAAAAACTTCCTCTGTGTAAACGTCAAACATTGTTGCATACATTTAGGAGTCTTCGGAAACACTTATCCTCGCACTTATAATGGATTTCAGACCTTTTCATTATCTACTCTCAAATTTCTTAGAGAAACCTTAACGCATGTTGCGTTTTAAAGGTAGGGCATGATCATTTAAAAGATAGGTCATTGCCCCCCAATGCCCCCCTGGCTACGGCCCTGATGTCACATCGATGGAACAATGTGTAAGACAAATAAATCCGTTCTCTTGAAACTGCTGGAAAATAAAATACACGTGGAGCCACCATCACATGTAGATGTTCAAATTTTTGATGGGTTTTTCATGTTCCATCTTATGAAGGAGATTCCGGTGACTTTTGGAAACATTTCCAAAAAAATTTTGCAAATGTTCACGGTTAATACAGCGAGTACTGTCATAATTACATTTGACCAATATTTCTCTCCTTCCATTAAAGATAATGAGCATATTTTACGTGGAACCAGTAGGAATGAACGTTATCAAATCACCGGTGGTGAACAAACACGACCTGCTGATTTCTCCACAGTACTGAAGAACATCAACTTTAAAGAAGCCTGAAATTCATTTTAGAAGATTGGAGGAATCCTTCAATGGCACCATTCATTAAAAATAAGACAATATATGTTAATTATGAATCATGTTATAAGTACGAGGAAGTGAATGGTACTGTTTTGAGAACTGAGGAGGCAAATTTAGCATGTCCTGCACATGAAGAATCGGACACAAAAATAATCTTCCATGCTTGCAAAGTTGAACAAGATTCCAATGTTGTTATAAGATGTTCCGACACAGACATTCTGATCATTGCACTTGGTAACATGAAATTCCTCAATAAAAATGTAAAAATCTGGTTAAAAGTAGGTGTCGGGAATAATGAGAGGTACATAAATGTCAGCAAATTATATGAATTATTGGGTCCAGATTTAAGTCGTGCACTCCCAGCATGTCACGCCTTCACAGGATGCGACTTCAATCCAGCGTATTTTAAGAAAGGCAAGAAGCGGCCTTTCACAGTTCTCCAAAACTCTCCCCAGTTAATTAATGCATTTGCCAACATGCACAAGTATCCAGATATTGATAAAAATTAATTTTTGATACACTGGAGAAATTTATTTGTGAGCTGTACGGTTTTAAAACAATGAGCAGCGTGAATGAAGTACGATTAGCTACGTTCATGAAAGCCTATAAATTCAGCGACACCCAAGAACAGCTTAAACTACAGTCGACAAGTTTTGATGGATCCATATTACCCCCATGTAAAGTGGAGCTACAACAACAAATTCAGAGGGCTATTTATATTTCCAGTGTGTGGTGTAATGCACACTTCCAACATCCAACGTTGCTATCTCCTACAGATTGTGGATGGCAAGAAGTTGATAATAAGCTGGAGTTCTTATGGTTTGAAGGTGATCAGTTACCAACTTCGATCAGCGACATTATTATTGATAAAGTTTCTGAAACCAACGACGCAGGTAATAATAATATTTTCTGTAGTGAGTAATTAATTATAGATGCCACTTATATTGAAATTATTCATAATCATTTTACAGAATCTGATATGGTAACTGATGAACGAGATGACTATGATACCATGGAGCGTGAGCGTATTCAACGTGAAAGTGATTTCAACGATAGCGAGGATTCTGAAACCGAGGATTTATCCACTTTTGTTGGAACTGTCTACGGATATATTGACGAAGATACGTGTCTCTAAACTTTTAGATGTTACATACTTTTTGCGATTAAATAAATAAAAAACAAATGCGTTTTTGTAATTATGTCGAGACCCTATTACTTCACTAGCTCCTGCCGAATTCAGGTCCCATCAAATGACTGGCAGGATACGTTTTTTAGCTATCGTAATTATTAATGAAATGCTAAAAAAAAATCACCTTTTATGATTTATATCAATTGATAAAAAAAAAATTACGTGAATAAAATTATGGCAGGAGTATATAGGTCTACCTAAAACGGGGCAGGAGGTCGTTTTATGTCTTATTTAAATGTTATTAAGACAATTGATATAGTTTCAACTTTTATTATTTTGAACATTTGGACTCTTTTTTTCAACATGTTTGGCATACCGCTGTCAACCGTTGTCCCGCTAACAAGGTGGCAGGAGTTCATTTTTCTGATCAGTGATATTATTATTACAAAATAAAACATAAATCAAGCTTTATGAAATGGGACAATAAAAAGTGTCGCCAGCTCCCGTACTATTAATTGTGCGTTGCTGAATCAGGAAATAACGTGACTCGAAAAAGATTTCAGTAGGGTACTAGTAAATAAAAGCTTGGCTTTCGAGGCGCGAGAGGTAGTTAGACATAATATAATCAATAATGCAGCAAATGCTTTAAATGATGTAGGTATTACAAATTTCTCACGTTACAAAATTACTTCAGCTTTTAGCTTTGAATGTATGTTTTAGAGGATACATTCAATCAACATCTATACAATATAAGCTAGAAGTTCCCTTTTCAATTAACCTCAATATATATTTATATTCGGCTTGAAATCTCCCAACTAATTTTCTATTCATCTAATCAAATTATTCGGCTAACTTCAAGGCGGAAAACATTTTCAGCAATTTTCCTTCAGTATACCCGTAGTCGTGATTGTTGGCAAATTTATTAAACTAAAGTTCTATAATGTCTCGAATTTATTTTTATTTAAAATAACCAATTTGTCTAAAAGTTTTTTTTATTGCTAAAATAAAAAAGGTTTTATCTTTTACTAAAAGCTTTTTTTTTCGGGGAGTTAAATAAATTTAACTGTATTCAACTTTTTACTCCTAATCAATCGAGGAGGAGCTTCTCCAAATTCAGCCAATGGAAATTTTCTCTTCAATTAAATCCCTTATATTTAAATTCGCTTTAATCTACCGGTTCGTTGATTCTCCTCTTCGCTGCAATCCATATTTGAAGAGACTCTCAAGCTCTTTGAACGGTTTTAAGCATTTTATTACTCCTCAACAAATCCTGTATTGTTTTTTTCACAATATTTCAAATAAATTGCATTAAATTACATTCACTTTCTAGTAATATGAATTTTGAAATATTTATCCGGTATTTTCATTTCGCGGTATATTTGGCTCACATTAGGGGCCTATATTCTTCGCGATCTGAATATAAATATTAGCTCTCGTCGCGTACGTATCTTGAAAAATGTAAGCGCGTTGGGATTTAGGTAATTGCTAAATTATATAGTCGATAATGATTTTAATTTTGAAAGGCTTCTGACAAAATGATGTTCTAATTTCCAGTGAAAGCTGAAAGTCAATATCAATAACATTATAGTCGAGTTGTAGCGATTTATTCTCGGATATCTAAAGGATGATGGAGATTATGGTTTTTTTGAAGCATTTGATCAAAGTTTTCAATCAAATATTTTTAGAAAAAATTCTTTTGAATCACAATTTATATGTTAAATGGAATAATCAAATCCAATCACAAACATAGGAAGTGGTTGTGGAAAATATTTTTTAAAAAATGAACATATTTAGAATAAAAGAATTCAATTGCACGCTTGAAATTCAGAAAACTAGATTTTCTTGCCTATCCTCCAGAGACGTTTCCATTATACTCAGTCGTTTTGCGGTATATCATACATAGAGCTCATCAACAAACTTGATTTATCATTCTGATTATTAAACATTATGTTTTATAGAGAAAAGCCTCGCTTGATAGAAATGGACCAGACGAAAGTTGAACTTTTGCAAGGGTTGCGTTTTTTCTCCGGGCAATTGGAAATCGCAGATGAAATACATTCTGCAACTTTGTAATTCTGGGGTATTCGCAGATGAAATACATTCCGCAACTTTAATGTTTCAATCTTTGGTCCCTTGGAAGGCTACATAATAAAAGTGTATATGATTTCCATGTCTTTTCTTGACTACTTCTGTACAATCTTTTCAATCGATTCATGTTGACGCAATTTTTCACAATGAGTCAAATTTGCCCATTTTCCAAAACAAAACATTCGTATTCCAGAACAAATGCAATTCTCTTTCCAAACGATCGCGGAAACCCGAAAATGGAGCACAGGATAATATTTTATCGAGAGAAGCTAAAAGCTTTAATCTGAACCACACAAGATAAATATTTCGCCTTTTTTTGCCAGCACGGAGCATTCAAGAAATTTGACTTCATCGATGAGCCGAGTTACTTAGTTAGAAAAGTTTAATTAACAAAGTTTATATCGAGGGGTCCACCACTATGCTTACAAATGTACAATGATTTCCATATTTGGCAATCACTGATCAATGAATCTCATGTATTCCCAAGAATTGCGACTGATTGCCAATGATTTTCAGATATTTTTTATATGATTACCAGGTCATTTCCATTTTTTCTGGGGATTCCTATATCATTCCCAATTACTTGATTTCCTCGATGATTTCCTACAATCATCCGATTTTCAGCTGATTTTATCAAGAAAACAATGTCTAATTGTTAAGTTTCGCATTGATATAACCAAAATAAACAGTCTTCTCTCTTATAAAAACACATTTCCACTGAAAAATTGGCAACTTCTCTATTTCCAACTCTTTACAAAAGTTAGCAACTTCTATTTTCATGGTTGTCCACACCCACACAGATTTGGTTGCAGGTATAAATAGTCGTTGAGCCCTATACACCATCGCGTGTCTACACTGCATAAGATTTCACTAGAATCTTCATCTGAATCAGACAGACATCTTTAGTTAGGGTTTCACTCGAGTCTCGACAAATTTATTTCTAATTTTGATTCAGCTTTGCTATCGTCTCTGCTTCTCGCCCTGCCTAGTATTTATTCAGATTCCGAAAGGAGAATGGTGATTGCATTGAACGAGAAGCGCGAGGAGACGGCCTACCAACGCAAAGAAATCTTTGGGATGAATAACTGAATTGTTTTGTTAGAGAGTGATGTACAACTGAAATGTGCTACGATTTCTTCTATACCAGCAGAGCTGAAGGAGCTGGTCCAGCTCAATAAGTTCCTTTGAGGCGGAGAATTGCAGTATCTAAGTGAAGTATCACAGCTCAAAGAAAGGCTTATTGGAGAATTTGCAGGGGTTACTGCGGATCGAGATCTCCTCACGTGTCAACCGAGTATAATGCGGAAAAGCATTCGAATGCCCACATCGCACTCATCGCTGGACAAAACAAATTCAAAACGCAATTCAACCACGAACATATTGCTTAACTGTACAGACCAACAAAGGAAAAAGATTAGGCCTTGGTATACTAAAGCATAGCGCACATTTAGACACATGCGACGCAACCCACGCAAGGCAGCATACGCCACGTTTTTGTATTATGTAGCAAGCATTGCACGTCTGCAGATTGAGACGCACCACAGGGAAAGGCTCGAATCCGCCAAGAAGCACATGCGTCGCTCAGAGTTTGAGAATCAGATTCATGTGCATGCGTGCTTGTCAAATGCGTCAAATAGGAAAAATGCAGGAAGAAATGATTTAATTTGCGTTAGCCGGAACAGCCCACGAATTTCGTGCACTGTGTCGTTTGTGCTGCCCTGCGTGGGCTGCGTCGCATGAGTCTCCAATGTGCGCTTTGCCTTAGGCTTTACGTTTCTCTGGTGAAAACATGTGCTGCCTTCAGTACATAGGAAAAAGTCCAGGAATAGAATTTGTAATACTTCCAATAAATCTAGGGAATCCTGGAAAACTATCAATGACTTGCATGGGAAGAGTAAAGTTGTATCTGTTTCTAGTTCATTACAGGCTAACAATCTCAATAACTTTTATTGTTCTATTGCCACTAAATTATCCCAATCTGAAATTTTCTTTCCGTACCCCTACCAATGCTCTTGAGGTTCGCGACATACTTGGCACATTGAACAATAGGAATGGCTGGGGCAATCAACGACTCCTTTGTTTCTGGCGCATTTTTGGTTTGTTTAAAAAATGCCGTAATCATGCCTCTTTAGGAGGGTGGAGACCACGACACTCCCTCTAACTTTCCCCCAATTGCATTGTTGCCAACCCTGGCTAAAGTGGTAGAAAGGTTAGTGAAGGCAAGGGTGGTATCTTTCATAAGGGATCATGACCTTTATGAGCACGCAGGAATTTGGATTTCCGGATCAAATGGGTATTGATGATACCATTTTTGAATTCCTCGAACATTTGTATGTCCGAATTAACGATGGAGAGGTTGCTGCAGCGGTATTCTGTGATCTGTCCGAAGCATTTGATTCTGTTGATCACGGAATACTGCTGTGGAAGCTGGAGAGGTATGGTTTTAGAGGTGCGTCGCTGGAGTGGTTTCGATCGCATTTTTCTGGGCACGTCCAGAACGTCATTTTCAACAATGACTCCTCTGAGAAGCTTGGTGTTGGTGCTGGTGTTCCCCAGGGCTCGGTATTAGGACCACTGCTTTTTCTGATGTATGTAAATGATCTCTCACATCTTCCCATCAGTGTAAATTTACCATTTTTGCCGAAGATACCACCATCCTCTGGCATGGTTCAGATGCTGAGCTGCTCGGGCCGATTGTGAA